ACTTTTACGGTGATAAAAGTTCATTGTCTAAAACTTATGAAACACAGACGTATTCAGAAAGAGTATTGACAGAGGTCGCCGCCAGAACAAAAGCAGTTTCATTGCCTGTCTGACATCTTATCACCGCTGAACAATAAATAGGTGTGAATATTTTTAGGCATGTTGTCGAAACAAATGAATAGGATTAGGAACAATGCCGTTTTGGAACAGCTGGTTGAAACAATGAAGTCAGTCACGGTCTTGTTGAATTGGGGGTGCGGTTAGTAATAGGTACTTTTCAAGTTTTCAATTTTTGTTAAGAACTCTTTAACCCTGAAGCCGGAATTGGGGGTGCGGTTACTATTACATATGCGGTTTATATTAGGACTTTAACGGTATTCTGAAAGTCGTTGATCTTTCTCATATCAGGTAAAATCATATTTTCAGATGTGTCAAATGGTTTGAAAATTGTTGGTTTCAAAACTGTACTGTGGTCCATTCTCTGAGCTGGTGTGTGAAAGTTCACTACTAATGACCTTATAAAAATTAGATAATATAGTGATATTGGATCAAACGGTGGTATACTGGTGGGTCTTGTGTAATCAAGCTACAAGCATGTACTATATAACAAAAGCAAAATATGTACCACATACCGATATCTCCTAAATGTACAAGGCAATGTTGGGAAATATAATGACAGGAACTCAACTGGGGTTGCACTATTCTTCTGTGGTTTGGGTTGTGTTCGTTCAGAATACCAAGTCTAGATGATTTCACGTGACATGGATAATCAAGGTGAAAAGCACTGCATAACTCCTGCAATAACTGCAGGAATGAACAAAAACAAAATGCCAACAATTATGATTAACAAAATACAATCTTTGAGCATCATAGTTTTATATTACTTCAATTCATTCCTTACTAGGAATATGTTAGAAAAATTTACTGATTATTATGCAACTTAGGTTATTAAGATATAATTTGAGCAAAAAACTAATCAGGTGAGTGGGACACAAGAAAGCACTTATGTACCAAATTTAGGCAGAGGGTTCTTCAAACCCGCCTATTCACATAGTTCATACCCACCATAGACTCTGGTCAGTCAAAATGACTATTTTGAACTGTAGGCATTAATCAGCGATTCTGCCAATGACAGAGAGATAAAATCTAGGTCATGGGACGCCCCATGACCCCAAGATTTGTCTCCCTTACGTCACAAACCATGTGATCAAGGTAATGTGGCGGCGCCACCTTGATATCCACCCTGGTTCCTTTCTCTCCATACCGAGGACTAGACCAACAGATTTGCATGTGGGCACAACTATTTTAATTATTGATTTATTTTGCTTTAATGCTTCACATTATTATACTATTAGTTACTCAAAGCAACATTTTAAAGAACTACACTCTACACCTTTTTCATCAGTACAATCTTTGATAATTGAGTATTCACTAAATATAGTACACATTCTCTGTTAGTTGAATTGTTTTCATGCATATTTTGTGGTTCTCTCAGTATGTAATCATTCTTCGATATAACAACAAAGACAAAATACCTGAAGATAGAATCCACTAGCTGCTTCTAGAAACAAAGTCAGACTGGACTGCACTTCATGACGTTTGGGATTCTGTTGAAGAGAGAATTGCATTTACTATATAGTACTACTATACTTGCGTAAGAACTCTTTAATAAGTATGACATGCACTATAGGATTTGATATTTAAACCGCGGGTCTGGGTGTATAAAAGGAAAGATGGCCGCCACTTTTCAGTATCCAAATGACACTCAAGCGTGAAACAACTCTTCGGGGTGCTCCGCAAAATCACTCTTTTCGGCAATCTTAACGCCTGTGGTGCTTTATTTTCATGTCGTACACAAACATGAATATACAACTGCGATGTTAATTTACGAGTTCGGTGCGATGTCAGTGTGAATTCCGCGTAAAAGCGACGGAAAAGCATGATTCAAACAGTAGTTTTGACTGCTCAAACTGGCTGTCAGTCATGGGTTTATGTAAATGTAAGGTGTTAATCCCGAGTTATTTGTTCAATCTCTAGGTATGTTTATGTCATTACGGAGTTGATCATGTAAGTGATATCGTGGAGCTAATAAGAAATGATATGCTGTGAGCTGTTTGTCCGTCCGTTCATCTCAGGGGACATCGTCGGCGCTCCACGAAGCGGCCCGACCCGCGCGAGTGCGAATCGCACGAGCTGGGGTGTGCGCGAGAGGGGAGAGACTTTGCGTAAA